CACTGATGCTACCATGCAGAAAGACAATTGTTTTTATATATTAATGTTGCATCCTGTGACATTCATGAACTTATGTATTATTTTTGTCAATATATTTACCTTTGCCAGTGTTCCTCACTTTTTTTTTGTGTTTCAGGTCTTGTCTGGGTATCATATGCTTTTATTCTAAACAATTCTATAGAATTTGTTGTAAGGCTATTTTGTTAGAATACCTTTAAATGTTTTTACTTTATTTTATTTATTTTTTGAGTCAGGATCTTATTCTGTTGCCCAGACAGGCTGAAGTGCAGTGGCGCAATAGCAACTTAACACAGCCTCTACCTCCTGGGCTCAAATGATCCTCCTACCTCAGCCTTCTAAGTAGCTGGAACTATAGATATGTTCCACGATGCCCAACTAATTTTTAATTTTTTGTAGTATTGATCTTTGTTGACCAGGCTGTTTTTGAACCCTTGGGCTCAAACAATCCTCCTGCCTTGGCCTCCCAAAGTGCTGGGATTACAGACATGAGCCACTATGCCCTGCTGAGAATGTTTTTATTTCACCTTAATTTTTGTAAGTTTTCTTTGCTAAAAAATTATTGATTGATATTGATTAATAGAAGTTTTTTCCAGCACTTCGAGCTCATTATTCCATTGCCATTTTGCCTACATTTCTCCTGATATAAGCTTAGCTACTAATCTCATATCCCTTAATTCTCATTAAACACTCTCCTGCAAGATAAAATATTTACTATTGGGCATTTTAGAAAAAAAGTTTACTTATCTATTTCCAAATAGTGCTAGGTAGCCTGGTTCCTGGAGTGAAGATTATATGGATTAGAACCTCCAATAACCAAAATGGATATGTAAGGTGAGAGAAAAATTAATATTTGGTTATTTAAGTCATTAAGATTTTGGAGTTATACACAATAAATATATACAATTTTATCTATAATTTAAAAGATTTATTAAAAATATTTTAAAATGTGCACTAAAATTTTTTAAAAGAAAAAATATTTTGAAGTTGTTTTTTTGCTATAACATAACATAGCCTTTGCAGACTAGTGTAGAAATTGATACCTAGAAGGAGGATGCCTTCATTGCAAAAATAATAAGTGTTATTTTATTGGGGCTTTTATAGACCATATAAAAACTGGTACCTAGAAGGAAGGTTCTTTCATAACAAAAATAATAAATGTTATTGTATTGGGAACAGATATTAAGAAAGCTTTTCTGAAAGGCTGGGGAAAAAATCAATCCCTATAAACAGTGGTAAAAAATTGTTAAAAAAAAGTTATATGAAATAATTTTGAAGGTTGCTAATGCACCTAAAATTTATAGCTTTAAGGTTACAATTTGAAATTAAAAGTTAGCATAGTGTTTATTAGTAGCTACTGGCTGCATTTGAAAAGGTATTTTAAGAGGGAGATGAACTCATTAAATAGTTCACAAGCTGAAATAAAAGAGAACAGAGTCCAGAAATTTGAAGATTTTCATGATTAATAAAATGAAAATCTCAACAACTACCTTTAAAGAAAAATACTGAGAAATCTTTTGAGGAAAAAGATGAATTATCTCAGTGTTGCCTAAAGAACTAAAATTACTAGAATGACTGACACACTTATTGTTAAAACTTCCTAATGGTATAATTTGTTTCAGAATGAAGATCAAAATAAGGTTGTGGAGACGCGTAAAGCCTTTCAATTAGACAAAGTGTTCAAGGAAAGTGAAAATGTGGCTGAGCCTGGTTAGGTCAAGATACCCAAAATTAGAATGTTTTCAGTTTGTCTTCTTTCACTTGTAATATACAATTAAAGTTTCTCCATGTCTTTCAATGGCTTCATAGCTACTTTAAAAAAAAATACTGAGTAACATTTCATTGCTTGGATGTAATACAATTTATTTATCAATTCACCTACTGAAGAATATCTCAGTTCACTTTTAATTTGGGTGATAATGATTAAAGTGCTATAAAGATCCAAATGATCTATTATACTTTCTATATTATTAGGCTGGTGCAAAAGTAATTGCAGTTTTTGCCAATAACTTTTAATGGCAAAACCCCAATTATTTTTGCATCAACCTAATACTTAGTATTCTACTACAGAGAAGAGCTTTCCTTTCAGTCATTTCTATTTGCTGTTTGTTTAGCATTTAGTTTCAGAGTCATAGATTCTTTAGTGCAATGTGTTATTACAATCATGTTATATTTTCACATACAAATTTATGTTTTCAGCAATAATCACAAGCAACTGTACATAAGATTATGTTCTTTGAGGAATGCTGTTTTGTATCTCACACAAGTAAGAAAGCTGTAATTTTAAATCAGCTGAAATAGGAAAGAACAGCATCTATTGAGGCCCCCAAATCAGAGCTTAACCACTTTGCAAGCCCCATAGTCATAATTAACATAGGCAAGCGTCATTAATGGATACTAAAACTACTATGTGAAAAGTCTATTAAAGAATAGTATATAGCCAGGCATGGTGGCTCATACTGTAATTCAGGAGGCTGAAGTAGGAGGATCTCTTGAGTCCAGGAGTTTAGAAACCAGCCTGAGCAACATAAAGAAACCTTGTTTCTACAAAAAGAGAGGGAGAAAGGGAGAGAGATAGAGAGAGGGAGAGAGAGAGAATTTTAAAAAGAAAAAATAGTATGTTTATGTAGACCTGAATCAAATCATTAGGAAATAATCAGACAACCTCCAGTTGGGGGACATTTTTATAAAGCACCTGGTCTATACTGTCAATGCCTGCTACTCTGTTGCAGCTCCACTATTTATCAGCAACCTGTTTTCTCCTGCATAATGAGTGTTGTCTTCCCCTATGCCTTCATTTTCTACATCTGTATCTCAGACAAATGGTTTTTAAATACATTTCATAAAATCTTGTCCATGTTACTTGTAACTTCTATAGCGGTAATACAATGTGCTTGGAAATATGTATTAATTTATTTGCAATCAGCTTACATAAATGCAAGAGAGATAATTTACTCTGTCTTGTTCTTCTCTCATCTCTATACAATATAAATGTTACATGTATTTTGCAACATCACATTGCTATGGGGCTGTCATTCTGAGCTGTTCCAGCGAGTAAAACCAATTCTTTCCCCTCTCCCCTGAAGACAGTCAGCTATCTGACAAGCTGGTTTCTTTCCTTACCTATATGTAACAGCTTAAAGCATCAGAATATTTCAGCTTGACTTTTCAATTATGTAGCTTAGCCAGCCAACATATTCAGGAGGTGTACTTAAATATTCAACCTGAAATGAACTGAGTATTAAAGTAAGCTACTAACTAAAGTAACTTTACTTGATGTATTTGCCATAAGAAGTGACAATTCATCTAATTAGTTTGCAACACAGGAGTCATTCTGAACTATTTCCCTCTGCTGTGTGTTTTTGTCATAGTAATGGTGCATTTGCATCCACTGATACACATCGTTTCTGTGAAAGGATAACTTCTACCAGCCAACATTTTAACAAGTATTTTTTTTTCTGTGCCTAACGATGTGCATAAAATATTGTATTAAGTCTGTGGATAACCCAGAACATCAAAATGATATATTTTGGGACAGTATGACATACCTCCAATACCTAACACCATGCAGCAGTTAGCCATCAGTGACCTCTGAGTTCCAGAAGACAGGCTTCAAGAAAGATGCAATTAAGGTTGTACAGCCCCACCCTTTCCTATCTTTCTTAAAAATACATCAGCATGCCAGTGAGAGAATAAGATGATTAAGGACAACCTGGAGTCCACCCCAATTATCATTTTAGAAAAGCAAATCATTGGCAAATTTTGGAAGTTCAGCTGTTTTTGGCAGCAAATGTTTATACGATCCCGCTGATTATAATCCAAGCAATTGTAGTGCTGTGCTTTGTTGTGACTCATTGGGTTGGACCAGTTTTCAAAGGTTTCCAAAGGGGCTGAGACTGACAGCAGACCTTGAAGGGTGAGGGAATTTAAAGGAACAAAGGAAGACTGAGAGTTCTCTGTGTCTGGGGTTAGGACAAGGGAACAATATGGGGAACTCAGGAGTAACTGCCACACATGTAGATTATAATATGAAGTCCTAGAAGGATTTTTTTTTTTAATGGAGTCTTACTCTGTCACCCAGGCTGGAGTGCAGTGCAGTGGTGCTATCTCGACTCACTGCAGCCTCTGCCTCCTGGGTTCAAGTGATTCTCCTACCTCAGCCTCCCGAGTAGCTGGGATTACAGGCACGCACCACCACACCCAGCTAATTTTTGTATTTTTAGTAAAGATGGAGTTTCATCATGTTGGCCAGGCTGGTCTCAAACTCCTGACCTCAGGTGATCCATCCGCCTCAGCCTCCCAAAGTGCTGGGATTACAGGCATGAACCACCTAAACAGATGTGTTTAAAGCAAGCTGAATGCAGACTAAAGTATTTGATTTCTTCTTTAGGCAAAGCAGCAGGTTTTCATTCAAACTTTTCTATTTTTAATGCTGTCATGTAATGACATCTTTTAAAATGCATTTCAATTGTCTTTCTTTGGAAGAGTTATGGGAAGTAGGAGGAGAAAGGAGGAAAGTCACGTATGGTAAAGATTCAGACTGTGTCGATAAGTTTGCTTTGCGGGCAACAACAATAACAAAACAAAAATTGGAAAAATGAGATTGCTGAGCCTTTGTGTTATTTACTGCTTAATGGAATGTTGGCTGAAAACAGTAAAATAAATATTTCATTTTACCCAGCATCACTTAAAAAGTAAATAAGGCACAGAGCCCATCTAAGACAATTGCTGTGGCAGTATGGGGTAGATATAATGGGCTTCAAGCAGCATAAAGTTTAAGCTAATATGCTTGGACTTAGGAGTTTATATCTTCCTCTCCCCTGAAACAGCCTCCTATATGATTCCCATAAATAAAATCATCTCAGTGGGTTTCGCAAACCAGTGTAAATAAGTGCAGGTTCACCTTAAAACTCCGGCTACATGTTAAAGCCAAATCAACACCCTTTGCTAATAGAGATGTTCAAAAAAGATAAAACACCTACCTCAAAGCCCGAGCGCTGGGTTGGTGCTATTTCATGTCAAGGCAATTACAGTGATGGTATTAGGAAGATCAGGGCAGGAGTGGTGTTGTCATACCTGGGAAGGGAAAGCAAGCCTTTAAGCAATCATGTAGAGCACGCGGGACATCGTAAAGCTGGGGAAGGAACAAAGCTTTGCGCTGTCGGAATATTGATCTGCTCCAGAAGGTGCAGGGAACTGCACTACGGTGATTGCCTTCCCTGCTGGGTTTAGAGAGGTCTGAAAGAATACAGTATTGATCTGGCCCCGTTCCCGAGAAGTAACTTACAGATAAGCCCTGACTGAAGGCCACCAACTTTGAGACAAGCTGTTGCAAAGAAACGCCGTTTTCCACACAGCCAACATCAGCTAATGCTGAGTGGGTGATGATTAGAATATACTTAAGCTGGGCCCAGAACAAGCTGACCCTGTGCTTTCCTCCCCACACCTACATCACAGGTGTCTCCCAATTCTGAAAGAAGTAAAACCATGGCCTGGGTGGAGAGGAGGGCAAGGCACAGTGGGAGTTCCACGTGGAAGCTGTTGTATATCAAGGAAGAAAGATGGGAGTTTCTGAAGTTTTGCTTGTTAGTTTGAAACCACTCACAGCCTCATGTACTTCATCTTTTAAATGGGAATAATAATGCCAATTTCATAGATCATGGTCTGGATTCCAGGCGATAAATAAACCTACTTAGAAAATGGCATCTCTGGCCGGGCACAGTGTCTCACATTTGTAATTCCAGCATGTTGGGAGGCCAAGGCAAGTGGATCACTAGAGGTTAGGAGTTCGAGACCAGTCTGGGCAACATGGCGAAACCCCGTCTCTACTAAAAATACAATATACATATATATATATGGAGGCATCTCTTAACATTCAGGGTGAGGTTTGGAGGGAAACTTATCATCTACTATCTGCTTCATCTGAAAAAGACTCTCTTCCAGCTATTAAAATTCTATGACTCAAAAAAGAACATTTTTCAGAGAAAGGGAAAGCTTCCACGTTTCTGCTTCCAAAGCTGTGTGTAGAACTCGTTTGCCAGTGAGTCTGTGTTTATTACCAAACCTCAAGTTCAAACTTGGAAGTAAAAATACAGTCTCCTGAAAATTCTTCTCTGACATGCCACTCAGCTGCTCATGGTTTCCTGGTGGAAATTACTGTAACCACAGGATTTCACATGGTTTCAACCTCTAGCCACAAGTTAAAATTAGCCAGATGTTACTGAGAAGTTAGGGAACTAGGCTGTTTATACTTGGATCTGGTTATACTGAGTGTGTAACCAGATCCAAATATAACAATTCACTTGCAATGAGATTTTGGGGTATTGCAACTTAATTTTCCCCATGTTAAGAATATTCCATTGGCTAAAAAAGATGGCTCCAAGATCATTACTCCTTTGGGAAACAGAGCCCAATAGTTCTGCCATGGTTCTATAAATCCTCATCCTGTGAAGGACAACACTTTCACTCTGGCGTACATTGTGTGTAAAATGGGGTACATCCCTACAACCCGGTACTAAGGATTTTACAAGTCACGTATCCAAAAACAGACCTGGTGTCCTGGGTGTTTTGTCTTTCTCAATCATCAGGTCATCGTAGCTATGATGTAACAGTTTCATCAATTCAGCCTATTATGTAAACATGACTTGTGCTAGAGTGTTTAGACAAAAATAGATTTTGTAATTTTGTTACATTTGCTTCACTTCAAAAATTACAAGTAGACATGATACTAGTTCCAACTCTCCGGTTACTTTCTCCAACACTGAGGGGATCTAGAGCAAAGCCACCTGCATGTCTTCAGCACTTCAAGATCAGGATTATATCAGCAATAACATCTCACAATTTTCCAAGTGCTCCCTCCCTATGCACTGTCTTTTTCCTCCCACCCAAGGCCCCCAGGGTGGGTGTACACATTCATCCCTGCTTCATTTGATCCACCTCTGCTTGGCCACTGCTGGACTTTTTTCCCAGGCAAAAGGAGAACCCCCAGGAGAGTGAATACACTGGACCAAGGAGCTGCAGAGGTAGTTTGATTTCACCACAATCATTTCATCTCTCTTAGCAAAAACCCCCTGGGCTTGCCCTGTAGTACACACACTTGCCTTTGTTCACGCAGCTTAAATAGAACACTTCTTCAAAATTTAACTCAGCTCTCGGAAACATTTAAAGGAAATGTGGCCTATAATTATTCAATGTCAGATGCAAGATGTTGAATCCTTTGTCCAAGGTAAATATTTAATCTTTCAAAGTTTCTAGGAGATATCTTTGAAGCTGTGATCAAATTTGTAAAGCCCAATGAAAATATATACTAAAAATGTATCTGCCATGAGAAAAAGGAAGTTTATTAAAAGCATTAGCACTTCTCTTTCTCGGAAGCACACCGTTAGTCAGTCCTACACCTCTTGTATACTACCATGCAAAAGGCATTCAGACAATTGATTTTCTGAAATTTATTCATATTGAAAAGTCGTTTTAATTAACTTCTTTTCAGGAGGACACGATTTTCAAAACTAACATGTTTCATGACCAAGATTCCCAATCTACAAAGGTAAAAATGCACAGCAACTTAAAAACTCCCTATCAATAAATTTTAAAAAGTGCCGAATGTGTCGTAAATAGAAACCCCCTCGTGCAGCAAGCCTGCTGTCTCCCTGACATCCCATGTATGTGAGCACAATAATTACCCATGTGATAACAGCATCAAGGTCCTTTGTTATATCTTTCAGCCCTCCTTTTTTCTTCCTTCCCTAGCTTTGCTGTTCTAAGAGAAGTCAAGGTGAAGGGTTTAATGCCTCTGAAGCTGGGGCAAGAAAACAATCGCCTTCTCCAATGGTCAGTAAAGAATACAAGGGCACAGTTAAAACAGAGCCACTGAAGTGAACAACCTTGATGCGACCAACAGGAGAAACACCCCCTCCAGGTACTCCCCACAGGGTTCCCTTTTGGTTGCAAGGCCAGGAAGGTCAGCCCATCTCTATGGCACTCCCTTTCAAGTGTGCGGACTGCACGCCAGCAAGCAGGTTCCGCATGACTGCTGGTGCGCGGGGAAACTCCTCAGAGAGAGACCCCTGACCCACCAGAGGGGCGAAAACCAAAGCAGGGATCAGGCACTTTATTTCAAGAGTATGTGTATGTGTCTCTCTGTGTGTGTGTGTGTGCTACAAAGGCAAAGGAGGCCTTTCAAATCTAGAAACACTATACACATACATATATTAGGCAGAAGAAAAATAGGAAACAGAAATTAGAGAAATCACCTTTTCACTGGTAAATAACTTATAAGACACTGAGAATATCAGTGGCCCTGCAGGGTTGAAAATTTCTATTTTAATTGTATCCTACTGTTTTGAAGGAACACAGTGAATATAGCAAGATTTATACTTTTGCATACAATATACAATTTTCCAGATAAGCTCTTCTCTCTAAGCTGGTATCCTTCCATCAGCATTTGATACATGAAAAGTTGAATACAAAAAATGCTGGAAAATGGCCGGGTGCAGTGGCTCACACCTGTAATCCCACCACTTTGTGAGGCCGAGGTGGGCGGATCACCTGAGGTCAGGAGTTTGAGACCAGCCTGGCCAACATGGTGAAACCCTGTCTCTACTAAAAATACAAAATTAGCCGGGAGTGGTGGCACATGTCTGTAATCCCAGCTCCTTGGGAGACTGAGGCAGGAGAATCACCTGAACCCAGGAGGCAGAACTTGCAGTGAGCCAAGATCGTGCCATTGCACTCCAGCCTGGACAAGTGCAAAGCTCCATCTCAAAAAAAAAAAAAAAAAAGCTAGAAAAAAAAAACCATTCTTGCTATCGGGCAGAAGATTCTGCCTGCTATAGATGCACAGTGCTGTAGTCTTTTGCTGTATTATGCCTCCTTGGCTGCTTACAGCTTCCTTGATGAGCCGAGTCAGCAAAATCATCACAATATGTGGGTGTCCCTAGCAAGTTTCTGAAGCTAGAGCAACTTGGACCTAAACATTCCCTGTTTGCGAAAGAGCAGCAATTATGTTGCCTTGCAAGTAGTCTTGCTCATAAGCCAATGACTGATGAGCATCAGACACTCTCAAGCAGCTCTTGGAACGCCTTGGAAGATGTTTCAGATGCTGGGTGTGTTGCTGAGCACCGTGGTTACATTCCATTTCTGAATCTACTGAGAGGCTCTGAGTTGAAAGAAATTAGAGTCTTGCTGTGATGAAAGTGTGGGGGCGATTGAGCTTAGGCTGGAGAATCTTTGTGATGGGAATACTGTAAAGCAGGCTCAAGCATCATGCCTTCATTCAGCAAATATTTACCGAGCTTCGACTTCATTTCAGTCGCTGAATATACTAAAATGTGATGGACACAGCCCACCCCTCATGGAGCTCACATCCTAGGAAGGATGGTGACATGAGACAGGTCGCTCTCCTTGTGTTGAGTCCCCTTAAAAAAAAGAAATGGATATCAATGGAGCATATAAGAAAAGCAAACCTAGGCTGAGGAATAGGGAAAGCTTTCTGGAGAACAGGGTGTTTACATGATAAAGGAAGAAAATTAATGTACATTTCACTTATAAACCTCATTCGACTGCTTCTTTATTATGACTATCAGATGTATCTGTGTAATAATTTCCACACTCATTTTCTCCTTTCCAACCCTGCGCTGACTTATCTTTTGTTAGCTATCACAACACACTAGTTAGATTTGAAATCTCTCTTTCAATTAAATTTGGAAATCCCAGCAGGGAAATGTTCTCAGTAGCCTGTCTGATTAAGAATAGAAAAAGAATTGTATTTTGACATCTATAATCAAACTTCACAAAATAGCCCCAATTGATTTTAAAATTCACGCTTCAACCATATAATACATTTTTATTTTCAATAGCACTAGCTCTGTAACACTTTACACCTTACTATCATTTTCTAATTTATTGCCCTTACAAAATTCTCTAATGATTATGAAATTGACAAGATGAATTTTAAGCAGAAATGAGCTTCCTTTTTTCACAAACTTTGGGACATTAAATTCTTGCTTTATTGAACTAACAAAAAAAGGTATCCAATTTTGTGTAGATACGGCTTAAGGTGGTTGCAGGTATAGTCTTTTTGGAAGAAGGAAATAAGACTTTTAAAATGTGGAATTTGAAGATAAACTATGAAACGTTGACTTGCCAACTTGCAGCATATCAAAATGTCAGCTCAGCACCTTAAAGAGTCTAAAGGGATTATTCAGCCCAATTTTCTCTGTGCTTAATGCCATATCCTGGCTTAGAGTCAGGTTCCTTTGGAAGAACATTTAACTCTTTCTGCACATCATTATTCCATTTTTAAGCAATAAAGTTGTGATTTCCTAAATGACATTCTAATAATCTGAAATATTTCTCCCAGCTTTGAAAGGATCCGTGCTTTGAGGATATAGCTTACATACTGCGATAACCTCAATCATTCCATAGCAAGAATAGTATACCCAAATTAAACTTACACATCCATTAGTAAGTCCTAGCACAAATGATAATAAGAATATTCTTAGCATTATCCCAGAAAGAGACAGCGACTTGAATCTTATGACAACTCTC